CGAGGGGCGGCGGCGGGGAGGCGCGGGCGAGGGAGACCGCGGCCGGGAGAGCGGGAGGGCGCTGGGGAGCGCGAGCGAGAGCGCAGAGAAAGGAGCCGGCGAGGGGAGGGAGCCGGCGGGAGGAGGGGACTCGCCGCTCCGCCACTGCCACCGCGCGTCTGAGGACGCACCGCCACCTGCCGGCCGGCCCCGCGCGCGTCAGAGTGAGCGCCAAACGCTCAGGGCCCAGGGCCGAGGTCTTGGGGCACGGCCCCCACCCTCCATGGCCACAAAGCCCTTTCCTCCCTTCCTGTTCCTCCCCTCTGCCTTCCCTCCTCTCCCGCCCTCTTTCCTTCCTCTCTTCCTTTCTTCCCGTATTGACTGAGCACCTACTCTGAGCCAGCCACAGTTCCAGGCACAGGGGGTACAGGGGTGAACAACAGCCAGGTGCCAGGCCCTGGAGCTGACAGTCTGATGAGGGAGACAGACCATACCCGTGTGGACACCTGCATAGACAGAACTCCAGAGGCCAGAACCAGCACAGAGTGTAAGTGGGGAGGGGCTCCCCTATAGGGGCCTCTGCAGAGGTGACAGAGGAGACAGAACCTAGCACCATGCAGATCTGCAGATCTGGGAGGGGACCTTCTAGGCGGCGGGAGGGCACGGCAAAGGCCCTGAGGCTGCTCCTAGCAGATCCTGCTCCTCGCAGCCATGCCTGTGGCTTAGGCTTCAGGACTACAGACAGTGGCTTTATGTCCCAACCCCAGGGGCCACCAAGGGAGCAGCCCCTGATCATGAGGACAGACACCTGGGTGGAGGCAGCAGGCAGAGGGAGAGGGTTGGGGGTGAAATGAGGGGCAGGCCACAGTAGAGAGTCTGGAAATCGAGGCTCAGAGCACAGAAAGTCCCCACCCAAGGCCACGGGCTACTATAGGTTTCCACATAACTTCACCAAGCACCCACCCTGTGCTCCGCAGCGGCCTCAGGGAAAACAGGCGGCAGCCAGAGCTTCTCTAGGACAAGGCCAGAGTCAGTCAGCTTTGTGTCTTCTGCCAGGCCGGGGGCCACCTTGCCATCCTCCTTCCCCCAGGTGCCCCTGCATTAGGTGAAAATCCTCAGGCACAGGTCCCTGTCACATCCATCTCCCGGCTGGGTCTCTGTTCCGGAGAGAGAGACTCGAACAGGCAAAAGAGCAAAGCCTCGAACATTTGGGAAAGAGAGAGAGTGAGGGTTCCCTCTGGCCCCCAAAGAGTTGAAGCACCCAGTGCCCTGTCTTCTTCTGCCTGCTCACCAGCCCCAGGCTCAACTGGAAGTTACATCCAATAACAGACAGCGGTCACCAGGGCTCACCCTGTGCCCAGTGCTAGGGGGTGGGACGGGGGGTTGGCCTGATGTCTGAGAAGTCTCCTCCCTTGGAATGTGCCCTCCTCCGCTCCGTGGTGTAAATTCCCAACCTGTCAGAGTCTGAATCTCCAGCTCAGGACCAGAGTCGGAGAGGGAAGGGGCCGCTGGCAGCTGTAGGAACACCTGGTCTAGCACAGGGAGCGGAGAACAGAACGGGGTCAGTGCAGGCTGAAGCGGGGGGAGACGAGGCCAAGTGGGGGCCCAGAAAGAGGCTTAGACAAGCTAACGCTGCAGACCCGCTGGTGGGGAAAGCACTGCCCGGCAGTCAGAAAAGGGGCGGCTCTGTCCCTGCTCAGACACACTCTGCGTCTCCATCTCCCTAACTGTACAGTGAACGGGCTACACCGTCTCTAAGGCCTCTTCCCGTGTTCGTTTGTTTTAATAGAAGAAGGCCTCTAAGTACTGTCTTCAAGAAAATTTGACTGTGACAAATCATCGGGCACCTACGCTGTGCGGGCACATTCCTAGGGGCTGAGTGCATCCTGGAAAAGAAGACTGGGGGCCTCTGCTCCTGGGGGTGCCGTTGCAGGCTGTCGTATTTCATTCTCACGCCCAGGCTGTGGGGTGGGTATGACTGCCCCCATTTTACAGCTGAGGAAACAGACTCAGAGCGGTGACCGCCCAAGTTCACTCAGCCAGAAGGGTCAGAGGCCGGATTCCAGCTCAGGTCTCCCGGCCCCAAGGTGGCGCTGTTTCCACCGCCCCAGTTACTGGTCACCGTGTGTGTAGGCCCCTCAGGCATGTTACTCCTCCAAGGCTCATGGAGCCGCTCAGCCAGGCAGGGAGCAGATATGAGCACATTGCCACCACCACCACCACCACAGGCTCAAACTGAGGCCCACATCATCAGTGACCTGGTTAAGGTCCACGACAAATTGGGGGGAGGGTCCAGACCTGGAATTCAGGTGGTGGGACACTTCACCAGTGCTTTTTCGAGAAAATTGGCTGCCGCTGCCCTCATAAGGCTGCAAGGCTCTCAGAAGAGTAGGACTGATTCGTCCCTTCTCTGAATCCAAAGCTCAAAGACGGGGTGACTCCCCCAGACCACTCAGCTCACAAACGCTGCTGGACATGGGGACATGGTGACAAAGGAGACAGATGAGCCCCTGTGCTGGTGAGGAGCTTCTGTCCCAGTGCAGACAGACAGATCCTGAGGAAACTCACTCAGATAGCGGTAAGTACCCAGGAAAACAGGCGTCATCGGATGGAGAGGAAGGGGTCCCTGAGGGGTCGGGTCCCCCTGGGCTGAGAACGGAGAAGCAGTGGTGAGCAGCGGCCGCGGGCAGCCACGGGCGTGGCGGGAAGAGCAGTCCCAGCAGAGGGAGGAGCCGTGAGCGACTGTCCCAGCCCAGAGCAGCTGAGTGTTCAGGGCAGGAAGGCGCTGGGCTTGATTTGTATTCACAGATGGATGCAAAGTCCCTGGAGGGTTTTAAGCAGGGGAGTGACACCAGCAGCATTTTTACAGCCGTCACTCTGGCTGCTGTGAGGACAGGTGCAGGAAGCCTCTTAGGAGGCTCCTGTCCAGGTCCAGAGAGAGGCCATGGTGGCCAGGTGCAGGCAGGAGGGGAGAATGGAGGGAAGCCCACTTCCGGACCCTCCCACCCCCTGTGCTCACCCTCCTTAGTGACCCACGTCAGTGGGACTTGGGGACTCAGAGAGTCAAGCAAGAGAGAGACTTGGGGATGTGTCGAAAGGGAAGGATTGCTGGCTGCCATCAGGCATCCAGTCTGACATCCTCCAGAAACCACAGAGGCAGCGTCTGGCGTGCCCTCCCAGGTGGCCCACGGCTCAGCAGGCGGCGGGGCATGAAGGCTCATGGAGGCACTGCCTGTGAGGCTGCCGTGGGCACTGCAAGTCTGGGCCCCGTGCAGTGCTTGGGATCGGCGTCCGGCACTGGGGATGTGTCAGATAATATTCAGCACTCTCTGGGTTTGTAACACCTGATTATCCACAACCTAAGATCCTAAGACAGGGAAACAGCCCCACCCATCCTCCCTCATCGCCTCTTTGTTCCCGGCTCCCTGCAGGGCTCTGGGCTCCAGACAGAATCAGACCTGGTCCCTGCTCCTGGAGAGCTCACAGCCTGAGGGGGGAGGCACGCAGGGAAACAGTGCCATCAGCAAAGCAGGTGCTCTGAGAGAGGTGCCAGGAGCCTAAAGATGGGGCACCCCCTGTCTGGGGCTGAGGGAGGAAGGTTGCTCAGAGGGGAGGCCCTTGAGCTTATCTTTCCAGGTAACAGTAACAGTAATAATCGAGATTACAACTTGTTGAGCGCCTGCTCTGAGCCAGGCATTGTTCTAGATGGAAGAACTCACTGAACCTCATGATATCTACATAGTCCCTTGTAGAATCTCTGTAGGTTAGGTCCTATTGTCCCCAGTTCAAAGATGAAGAAGGTGAAGGCACACAGGGACTCAGTAATTTACCCAAAGGATTCAAAGACCCATGTCCCTGTCTCACCTCTCTTTCTTAAATTGCCTTACCTGTAAAATGGGACGGTCACTGCCCTGGCTCGGTGCTTCTCAATGTGTTGTCCCCGCACCAGCAGCATCAGCATTAATGGGAACTGGTTAGAAAAGCTGATTCCTGGGCCCCACCCCAGACCTACTGAACCAGAAACTCTGGAGTGGGGCCCCGGGATCTGTGTTTTAATTCACCCTCCAGGTGGTTCAGCCCCAAGTTTGGGAACTGCCGTGCTAACCCAGCGGTTCTAGGCCCGGACTGCACACTGGAATCATGTGGGGACGTTTAGGAAAACACGATGCCCGGGCCCCACTCCTGACCTCGTGATCTCTGCAGGTGGAGCCCTGGTGGTCTCTAAAATCCCCAGGTGATTCGAATGTGCAGCCGGCCAGGAGCCACCGCCCTGGCACAGCTTCTTATAAGGATTTGAGAGACAGTAGATGCCAAGTGCCTGGCACATGGTTGGACCCCAATAAATGGTGACTTTCCTAAGAGGTAAATGGGGGCCCCATTGAACCCCAGTCCAAACCTTTTAGCTTCAAGATCCCGTCTTGCCTCCCCATTCTGTGACAATGCTCCCGATTCAAAAAGGAGAAGAAATACTTGTCTCTCCACCTTTTAATCATATCACCTTCTCATTAAAAGTCTCAGACTTTTTAAAATTATTGAAGGTCTCTAGTGCTAATATTTTAATTTATCTTTATAAATGTGACAAGGCTCAACT